TGAACTTGAAGATATATAATTGATGCAAACAAATAGGAAAATATTATAATATAAATTAGTTTGCTGTACTATTGGTCTTTCCCAAGTGTTTGTCTTTTTCTACTATATATAGTATAAAATGATTCTTTTACGACGCATCAAATTAAATTTGTATACTTAAACTTATTTATGTAACTTACGTACATATTCATAATTCGTAAACGCCACAGCAGATTATCTTAATGGAATGTTATTTTATTGAAATTTTCAATAATATTGTATATTCATAGACATGTTTATTAATAGAACATTTTTATCAACTTTTTTCAGAACGTCTCCAACACTAATTGTAAGATTTGTACTTGCAGTTAAGATTGGCAAATTTACTTGTGGTAAAGCCAGTAAAGTGATCTTTATGACATATATTGTCTTGCATTCCAAGTTCTTTTTTGCTTTTCAAAACATTCTTGTAACTGTTGCACGCAACATCTGCCTTTATTATTTATATTGTAAGGTAAGATACTTATTATTTAATCATTATTTGTTCAGAAATTTACGATTGTCTTTGCTCATCTGTTTACATAAAATTGATCTGCTTTGTTACAAGGATTACTATTCTCGAAACAATTAAAGCAAAGCAATTTGATGCTAACAGATTGGAAAAGATTAACATAAATTAGTTTGCTGTACTATTGATCTTTTCCAAGTGCAGTTTGTTTTTTTTTACAATAAAATAGTTTTTTCCTTTAAGTATGACGCCTCAAAATAAATTTGTATACTCGAAATTATATATTTAACTTACATTTTCATATTTTATAGTAAGAGCTGTAAGGCAGATTACCTTATTGAAATGTTTTTTATGGAAATGCTCAATAAGATATGTTCATGTCACCTCTGTTTGTTAATAGAACATTTTTTGACAACTTTTTTCAGAACGTCTTCAACACTAAGATTTGTACTTGCGTCCAGTGAAGTAATTTCCATATTATTGTGTGTCCCAAGTTTTCCTTTGCCTTTGAAAGTTTTTATATTAAAGCTGTAACATTTGTCTTCATTATCTATTGTAAGGTAAGATATTTTTATTAGTCACATTGTTTATTCACAAATTGATATTTATCTTTTCCTATCAGTAGGAATACTAGGGGGATTCTGGACCAAATGTAGGTCAAGGTCAAGGGTGGGGGGAATGTAGGTCAAGGGGGGATGTAGGTCAAAAGGGTTAATCAAAGGGGTTAATTAATTTAATTAATAGATAATTAATCAATCAATTAATAGATAATCTATCGATTAATTGATAATTAATTAATTGATAATTTATCGATTAATTAATAATTAATCAATCAATTAAATACCATTTTTTTAATCTATCGATTAATTGATAATTAATTAAGCAATTAAA